TTAGAAGTACGATATTTTAGTCTTCGGGTACATGAATATACTTGCCGAGTGAAATGAAATTTGTACAACAACAGTATTGGTACTTTAGGCAGTCACTTATTTTGACTAAAACTAATTTGCAAATGGCCAAATGTATCTCCTCCTATAAATTTAGGATACAACACATCAGACATAGCTCATTCTACTCAACTTGAGTGTGGGCACAATTTTACTATTTGAATTTTTGATATCTTTTTTCATTAATGAAAAATTTGACCCCAAAGTTTGGGTAACTTCCGTAATCTAAGAATTGTCTCTAACTTTTAAACATTAACGACTCGGACTAGGATAGGGCATTGCATTATTCACATCAAATCACGTGTACAATGCATCCGAAATAGTAAAATTGTATAGATGCATTGGGTAACTTCCTGTTCACCAGGAATGGCGTTTTAACTCTTCTGTGATTTTTTCGGCTGGGCTGATTTGGTTCAAACTTGGCAGGCAAGTCACACCTCCAGTCTAGTTAAAAAGCACGGACGTAGCTCATTCTACTCGGCTTGAGTGTGGGCAAAAACATTTTTTTTGTCTATTTTCATTACCAAGAAAATTGACCCCAAAGTTTTTACCAGCAACGGCTATTAACTCTTCTGTGATTTTTTTGGCTTGGCTGATTTTGTTCATACTTAACAGGCAGGTCGTACCGTCATTAATTGGAAAAACAATCCTGGCCCACCGCTACCATGGCAACAGCCAAAAACTGTTTTTTTTGAATACTTTCGTCGCAAATTTATTACCTCATACCAGTCTTGTAATAGTAGTGTTCAAATGATCATGCCTTTTATTTTGGCTACGTTGCACACCGGTAAGAGATCACCGGCGCCGACAATGTTACACTGTATCAACGTAATCCCAACGCAACTTTGAATGGAATGTAAATGCTGCCTCCAATCTAGAAAATACTATCGCAAAACGATTGGAAATAATAAATTTAACAGCAGAATACGTCCTAGCAATAAAATAAAGTGACTTCTAAAGACTGAATGTTTTTTTTTTTGCGAACTTCGTTTCCGGTGCCCGGTTTTAGTTATAAACCGACGTTAGCTTCACGTTAATGTCCTACCATGAAAACAGCCGAAAACATGTTGCTTGTTTTTGAGCGGGAGCGGATCGCCAACCAGCCTACCGGCTTGTTTCCATTGGCAACCCAAATATTTTTATTTTGTAAACAAATTTTCGTCTGCTATTTTTATCCGGTTCAAATCGTTCAGCGACATTTTTAGCATATTAGGTGTACATCACATGAAATACTACGATTGAGAGAATTTGATGTATGTTGACCACCTGGAAACTGAGTTCTATAAACCCTGAAGGGCTCTCGGAAGACCCCCCCCCCCCCCGAAGTAAAATTATCGATTGCCATGGAGGCGCAACCATCGACATCGAAGTACCAGGAGGTTTCTGCTGGCGACGTTGCGGCGTTACCAAGTTCCAAATACAGATTACCAACGCCAAATGAGCAACATTTTAACCGGTAATCAAGATTCATTCAATCCACGACTAGGAAGCAACATCACAAGCGAAGTTGTAGCTCAGCAACGACTGCTGACGACGAAAGTCATCCCGTCAGTGGAGTACCGCAGTTGCACGGCAATCTTGCCAATGCACGGTTCTGTGGAGAAACTTTTAACTTCAACATAAATTTAAACTACGTATGACCACGGTTACTAAAAATGAACCGTGGTATGACTGACTTCGAAACGAGATCGGACTACGCCCTATCGTGTCAATCCTTTACCATTGTATTCAAACGAATCACGTGGTGCGCTGTTACATTCTCCATCAAACCCGGGATTAAAAAAAAACACATCGCAAATCATGCAAATTATGCAGTATACTAAAACAGAAATGCTCAGCGATGCAAAAGAAGGATAGATATTACTTTTCAGTATAAACATCTCTGTTGACACAGTCCTTCACATATTCTACTCCCAATTATTCCTGCGTAAAATGGAATAGCCTCTTTCCAGGTTGACATTCTGAGTAAAATCACGTGATAGGCTGTTAAAATTCGCTGTTACATACTCTTTCGCCGGTCTGGAAAATGTGTTTAATTAGCTCTCATTCAACCGACAATGCATATTTCCCAGTGGGAGTGAACCTAGTTAGAATCTGCCATTAAAAAATAGGGGTGTTTTCAGCAAAAAACGAATAACCCTTGAGTGCACACAATACACTGAATTTCAGAACAAATCTTGCATTAGTTACAGCAGCAGAATACCACAGAAATATCAGACGAAACATGAAAACACAATATATTGTATTTTGGCCTGAACCCTCTCTATTGCAATTTCAGGAATTACCGCCATATGTGCATCCATTTCCCACCTTGGTATCACCCACCCCTGAAAACAAACTCTTAATACCACGCTGAAGCGTTTGGTAATGACGAAACGACAAGTCGCCATGACAGGCTAACGACCAAGATGAGCCAGTTTTGAATAACAAATACACATTTGTTACTAGTATTGTGACAAATTGTTTGACAAAAATGAGATGAGAAGTGTCCAAATGGAGAAGGGATCCGACGTGCTACTTTGATGAATTTATTAATTCGTCTAGGCATGTTCGTTGGAATATTTTGCCACGTGGAGCGGTTTTCGGCTTGATGGTTGAGGGTTCTAGTTATTCCCTCTTTTTGGTCCCCGTTCGGACGAAGTCCAAAAACGGGGACTATCAATTTGGGTTCGTTCCGTACGTATGTACGTCCAGAGCTATATCTCGGACACCCATTGACGGATTTCATTCAAACTTTACATGAAGACAATACATAATGTCTTACATATGCGCGTCAAGTTACTCTGATACCTGAACGTATCCGCAGCAGTTTCTCAGAGATGACTGGGCGGATTTGCACCAAAGTTGGTATGATGATCATACACATTGGGTTGTAGGTACACGTCATTTTTTTTCGTGATTCGAACAAATATGGCCGACTGGTGGTCATCTTGATTTTCATGGTACCCATGCTACTTTATCTTGAATGCAATGAACGTTTCTGTTTAAAGCCCGGTAGTCGTC